ATATCATGAGAAATTTGCATTTTCTTTTTTTAAAAATATGACTTTGTTCTTCATAATTGTTATAGTTTTCAAATGTACCCCTCCTCCCCAATCAAAACCAAACTTCTTTCATGAAAATGAATTGCAAGCTACTGGACCCCTTTTCCCTTCTATTAACCTGACTGTTAAGGCAAAAAGACATTAGGAATAGTACAATTTAAAAATTTTGATATATGAAATCAAAGTTGAAAAGAGGCTTTGCTTACGTACAATCAGAACAATGGATCACCCTTCAGAAAAATCATCCCTAACCTTTACAAAGATGTTTTTGATGCATAAGGAGATTTAAATAGTCCCCACAGCTTGCAGCCTTGTATTGCTAGGTTCAATGTTCTGAACTATGAGGTCATTTTTGAGCCTCTAATGTTTCAGGCTACCACAAGCCCCAGCTAATTTTCAGGTGTTTCCAAGATCAGGGCTTATGTCAAAAGTTGCACGTGAGTTAACTATTCTCCATACCCCCAATCTCTCACATCGATCTTGCCCGTTTGTCACTATTGATTTGATATATTTAATCTTCTCTAACCCAGGGGATAAATGGTAGAACAGGAATGAGTTTTTACTTAAGTTCTCCTTCACGAACCAAATGAGCTGACTTGAGAGGAAATGGGAAGGAGGGAAAGGGAAAAGAAGGAAAGAAGAGTGCTGATTCTACAAAGTGGCTTTAAGGGATGTGAAAGAGAGTAAAAGTTAACACCTCCTTGTGCTTTCTTTGTTTTCAGAAAGGTAATTCCTTTTGCACATCATTAATGTGACAGTAGAAACTAGTTATGCTCAGATATGGCAGATCTCAGTTCTGATCTCAAAGTGGCCGAGGTGTTGAGGGTATGAGTGAAGGTGCAATAAATTAGTATCAACCGGCACATTGTTTATATACAATGAAAACAAAAATTTTCTCATTGACTTTCAAACAAGACTTTTCCTTTTTTGTTGTTTTTTACAAAGGCTCGAAAGTAAAAAGCAGTTTAAATGCACATTTGTAATCTGCAACAACTGTACCAAACCCTGCATAGAGTCCTTAAGGATTAAGCAAGAGTAGAGAGAGTAGACCTAAGAAATGGTCCATTTGTTTTAGTGCTTGCCCTGGGAGTCGTTCTATTAACTTAAACATAACGTAACATAAAGGTGTCTGCTTGAGGACCGGCTTTCTTTAGAGCATCAGCGGAAATACTAAAATTCGCTGCTATCAGGGCCTTCTCTAGCTCCTCTACCTAATACTGAACATGTTGTGACTTTATGAAAATTATCATACCAGGCTTGGAACTGGATGCAAATTAGCATTATTTTTTATGTGTTAAGAGTGGGGTAATGTATTCCTGAGTAAATGCCTATCTATATCTACAGAGAAACCTGCCCGTTTAGGCATCTGGTGTTTGGATGTTACATTTAGGCAAAAACTTTAAATTTACCTAAGGCAAAGCCCCTTGTAAGCTGTAAGGAAAACAAACAAATTTCTATAAATGCAGCTTGGGCCAAACATAAGCGGTGACTTTAGAGACAGAGTCTAAGTCATGGTAATGTTTGCAAAGACAAACTAGTTCTGTATAATGAGATTATTGACCCTCACTGTTTCAGAGCAGTTTTAAACATGAGGGTGAGGTTCTGAATCTCAGCCTGCACCGTTAGCTAGAGAAACCAGGGCTGATCTATAAACAGCCACCATTACAGGCTCATGGGAACACTCCTCATAATGGGAGCCATTATAATTTTGGTCAGGCACACAAAATAAGGTAACCTGTATCTAACGTCTATTTATCGCTGGACTTACATTTGCAAATGAAAGCCACTAATTAGCTATTTTTGAAAACTGAGCTGGCTTTCTATTTCTCATGTAATAGCCTGTGAATACATGTGTCCTAGACTTCAAAATGCACACGAGGAAAGGAAAGAGGTAGAAAGCTTTCTCCAAGGCCGGCTTTTTTAGCAAAATGAGAAGCAATTACATGACATTTCGCTAAAAATTCTTGACCCAATAAAGTACTGAAGCCCGCATGCCGAGTCCTCTTTCATAAGAAAGAGCAACAGAGAAAAGAAAGGTCACGGACCATATTGTGATTCTTTTACAGCTGTTGGAGACAGACAGTATGATGCAGTAGCTTGATTTGAATTAAGCCAAACAATATGAAAAGCATCAAGGCTGGCAAGCAAAGCAATAAAGCCTCACAGAATTTAATCTACCTTGAAGGTGGGACTACTTTTTGTATTGAGAGCAGTGCACCAGGACAGAAATGAGTCTTATAATGCAATGACTTGTTAATAGCCTTAAGATCACAATATATAAATAGGATACGTTGATCAAAAAGGCAGTTCTGCCTCTGCTATTACAGTATGACCGATATTTCTTTACAGGTTACTTCATTGATTATAAATAGACCACGTCAATGGCAAATGTACAATAGGGGAAGCATAACCCATTATGAGGTAATGGATATTGCTAGTGGTTGCTTCATTACCTTCACTGGATGAGTGGCTGGTTTTTCCTTGTACAAACGCTGCCCTTTAGACAAAATCTCTTCAACATCCGGCTGTTTAGCTTGAACTGCTACTTCAGTTTCCTGGGGAAAGAACACATACAGTGCAGATTAACTTCACAGTTAGCAATAAAATTACTAAATTTAACTATATACCCTTGGAGACTCCACATGTATTGCAGATCAATTCCTGCATGGTACACAGGGGCATGAAAAAGTAGCTTTTAGTACAGAGAAAAGAAGTAGAGGTCTTTGTGAAATACATTAAAGTTTGAAAAATGTATCCACAATCTTCTTAAATTATATTGTAATACTACTATACAGAAACACAGACATTAACTTTCTATTTGTCAGACACTTAAAATGCAATAATGAAAAGTATGATTTATAAATAGGATTAATATAATTGTTAGCATCAATAATCTCAGTAATCCTAATGTTCAGTTTGCTTCACAAAGTTCTTATTTAACAGGATTCTCTTTGGGACTTTGGATGCAAGATTTGTTTTGAAAAAGAAACCAAATAATTTTTTCCACATCACTGTCAAAATTATTAAGTTTCTTTCCAAAGAACAAACACATAAAGCACAGTATCAAGGCTTATTAATTATTAAGCAGTCAGATGAAATAAACCTGAGAAATGATTAAATCATTTTAAGAAACTTGTTTTTCCTTAGTTGGAGAAGACTGAAGTATGACTAAAAAAAATAAAAAAAGAAAAAAGAAATAAAAACAACTCCCTCGAAACCTTTTCAGATATATGAATATAAAGTGCTTTGTTACTGGCTGCTGTCTAGATCTCTTGAAGAGAGAACAAAAGAAATGTGCATAAATTGAAGCTGAAGGAAGTGAAGTTAAATATTACAGAAGACTTTTTGGACAGAACACTTGTTAAACACTAGGATGGAGTATTGATTAATCAATGTCAGGCGTCAGTCAGGGCCTGGGCAATCTTCCCCAGATAGCAACTCCTGATTAACCTGTATCTCTCTTCCTCCCTCTCCTATCCTGTAGCCTCCCAGGACTGCTGCGTGTATGTGTCTTCATGACACTGTTTCCTTTATATACTGTGTTTGTGCCTGTCCTCTCTTAGCCCATCAGAGTTGGAAGTCCTCTGATCCCATTTATGATTATTACTATAATCATAAATGGCATAGTAGGGTGTCTTGCAACTTATGGGTGCTCAGCACAAGCTCTTGAGAGGGGTTATTTCTTCAGTTCTTATTACAATAAATACCAGTGGGAGGAAGGCACTTTGGTTCAAAGTATCCATAATATTAAGACTAACCCTGTGCCTTAAAGGGTACGTGTGCAAGACACACACCAACTTTAGGGGCAATAATTATGGAAGAAGCAAATCTAAAATTATAAGTGTTAATTCATTTGCTAGGATAAAAAACTCTAAAAGTGATTTAAAAACTGTTGTAAAATTTTAACAGGGTCAAATTCTGAGTGTACTTTGTAAAGGTTGGGCATTCCTTCCTTTAAAATTATTTATAAGAGCACTCAGTGTAAATTCTATACCTTCAGAAAAATGACCACAAATAGTTAATAATTTTACCAATGTTTCACGTATGCAGCCAAATAATTAACACTAACAGCTTTGTCTCCCTGCCCCAGTCTTCAATTGCAGATAAATAATTGCAAAGATTGGAAAGAATGGTGGTAATTCAGGAGGCACTGGCAAATAGACAGGGTTAGGAGATCGCATTTGATATCACAAGGAATTCCTTTAGGAAATGAACATACAAATCTTAATTCAGGAAATTTTCATTGGCAAATGAACAGAAACAACGAGAAGGCTGACATTAAGGAAGCCCAGATATTCACTTAGAGCTTTGAATTCTAAGCAGGCGCTTGCTAGATGGACTGAGGAAAAGGTGGCAAGCCATGTGAAATGTCTGTGTTTTACATTTGTAGGAAGTGAAATATTCCTTCAGGCCACCAAATTAGCCCTAGATTTAGTCCTCTGATGAATGAGCATTGCAAAGTCACATCATTTCCCTTTATATAAATGTTTCCTATTAGCATGTCCTTCTATCACCATGACTGTCATTTCTTCATTCTTCAATGAAATAACAGAGTTTAAGTACCTGGATGGGATTTACATTTGGTTCTACAGAAATAGAGCTTTGGGTGAGAGAAGTCAAGATCATCTCTAAATTCTTTGTGGTTACTTCTCCTTGGCACTTTTTTGGAGAACTAGACCTCTAATTACATACATCTTTGAAAAATGACTATAGAAAGACCATTTTGAAGGTAAATTTCTATAATTTACCTCACTATATTTGCAGTATGAATTTATCAGTTAAAAAGATAGGTCAGTTAGTTATTCAGGGTCAAATATTATTGCTTGATGGATGAACTGTAGTATAGCCAATTAAATTCAATTAAATATTCTCTAGTATATTTTTGCTTAGTGTGAATAAATACCCTATAAGAAACTAATAATCATCCTGAAAAAATGGAAGCATGAATAAAATAAATTTTTAAATTTTTAAATTAAAACTTTACATGGAAAAATTGAAAAACAAAGCAAAACAAACAACAACAAAACCCAGCCAAACAGAATGACTGTGCAAAGTTAAGAAAATGCTGCTGAAATCCTTAACGATGCTGAAAATACTAACAAATTGCTATAATTATATTAACTACTATAGTAATATTAACAAACTAGAGTTCTAAAAGTTTATTATGTGTCAAACACCGCATGTTTCATACAACTTTTTCCCTTACACACTCCTACGGAAAGAGTATTATCTGATTTTACAGATGCTGAAACTGAGGGATATTTGGTCAGTTTGTCCGAGACAACATAGCTTGCAAATAAATGGTAGAGTTGAGATTATAACCAGAAAGTGCGTGCCTCTAAACCTCTACTTCATCCCTTACTCTGCTGTATACTACATATTTGTGCACGTACTAAAACTGGCAAATTTCTCAATATCATGTTAATTTTTTCTCCTCTTTAACTCCAATATATTCTATAATGTCCTTCCAGAGTGTAATTGAGAGAAAATCCTGTCTCTTTCCACAGAAAAGGAAATAAATTCTTACATAGCCTTTAAAATGCTCCAAGGGTGTCTTTTTATGGGTTTATGATTGCCAGACTGATGATATCCAGGTCAGAGAATTGGTCTGAGTAACCCTTTTTCTCTCATAAATGGCCTTACATCTTTATATGATTTAAGATAAGGTGAAGGAGGTCACTACTAAAATGGAAACAGAGCTAATTACAGTGGCCAGTTTTTGTATGTAGAAAGTGTTCAACTTCAAAGAATATTCAGACAAGAAAGTCTTCATGGAATTTCAAACAAAAAATCTTACTTCTAATAATAGAACATTTCAATTTAGGTTTTTTTCCCTGTCTTATTCTTAATATGTACTCTGAGATGTAAGATTGTACATCAGCGGTTAAGACCTTTATAATGTGACTAGTTTTATTTTCATCATAGTATTGACAGTTCACTACAATCTCATGCATAATTTTAAGAAAATAATTTTGTATTAATTAGGTAATAGGGAGTAAGGTTTCATTAATACTCACTAAAAGAATAACACAGTGTATTTTTAAATCCAACCCAGATAGGTTTTTGAAATGAAGTAACTCTCTAAGCATCTCCAGTCTTATTTATTTTTTATTAAATAGCATTACTAATATTGGGGAGTTGCTGGTCTGACAAGCAATGAAGTAATAGTGATAAAAACAGAATAAACATCTTTGAGGGTGAAAGTAGCAATTCATATGTAAATTAATATGTACTTGCATTTTCTAAGAATTGATTCATTGAATATATTTCTAATTCAATATTAGGCTGAGGTTGTGCATATGTTTTTTTTTTTTTCATTAGAAATTTGATGCTCCTAAGGATAGTATAATGGAGATACATTTTGCTTTGTTTTCCTTTCTGATTTTAAATTTACATTTCTGCCATTTTACTTATTGCTAACCTTAGAAAATGCGAATATATATGTATATATGTGTGTGTGCATATATCTGTGTATATATATATATGTGTACATATATATCACAATATAAGGAGGAAATAAACAGCCTTTTCATGTATGTTTCAACATTTGTTCATTCATTCATTTGATAAACATTTATTGAATATTTACTCTATTTCAAAGTCTTGTTTAGCAACTGCAAATACTGAGGCATAAAGTAGTCCCTTGTGAAGGATATAAACACTCTCATGTTAAACTTAGAGTAAAACAGGTATAATGTCCAGCAAAGCACAGTGTACAATGGGGCACATAGAAAGAACTGATCAGTTCAATGTTTGAGAGACAACAAGAGGATAGGGACAAGCCTCATGGAGAAGAAAGGCTTGAATGAAGGCTTGGAACAGAAGCAGCTCATGTACCTGGTTGACAAAAGGATAGATGATAGAAAGTTTTGCAAGAGTGAGTCTGGAGTATGAAAGACAGAAACCAGAGGCAGCATGGAGATCCCATGTAGGGGAATGGTAAGAAATGGTACAGAAGTAGAAGAGGAACCAGAGGAAAAAGGAATCTTTCACACCATGAGTCCTAACCCCCAGGCTATGGACCGGCACCAGTCTATGGCCTTTTAGAAACTGGGCCACACATCAGGAGGTGAGTTGCGGGAGAGCGAAAGAAGCTTCATCTGTATTTGCAGCTGCTCCCCAGTGCTAGCATCACTACCTCTGCTCCACCTCAGATCATCAGGCATTAGATTCTCATAGGAGCACCACACAATGACAAATCAATGTTTTAAAAATGGATATATATGAATATACGAACAGAGAGATACAAGATTTACCCTTAATGCATCGTTTTCCATTCATCTCTGAATAAGATATGTATACTGCTACTAAAAACAAAGAAATTCAAGATAAATATGACAACTTTTTCCTTAGCAAACATATGTGCCTATTAACTTACTTTCCTGATTTATAAAGAGTATTTCCTCCCATTTGGCTATTTTGTCAGCTATCACGATTGATACTTTTTTTTTTCTATCAAATCTATGATATCATGGATTGTAAGGAATAGTATTATTTTATGAACTGCTAAGAAAGTTTTTTTAAAAAAGCAGTTTGAATTTGTAGACACCAATGT